TTGGGACACCCTATAGAAGCTGCCTGCTTTTCTTGCCTCATGGTCCCCTTCCCTATCCAAAGGCAGCAATGGCCAGTGGAGCTGTTCTCACAATGCATCACTCTGACACTGATTCTTCTGCTTCTCTCTTCTACTTTTAAGGAGACTTGTGATTACATTGGGCCCACCGGGATCATTCAGACTCATTTTCCTATCTCAAGGTCAGCTAATTAGCAACTTTAATTCCACCTGCAGCCTTAATTTACCCTCGTGGTATAACGTATCATCACAGGCTCTAGAGATTGGAATATGGGCATCTTCAGGGAACCTTATTCGGCCTTCCACAAATGCCTATGCAGGTTTAGAGGCATGTGCCCCGTTTTTCTTCTGGTGTCTTGGAAGCTTGTTAGCCTTCTTGAATTCTTCATACCTGCATGGGAGGCAGCGGTCAAGTAGACGTGGCAGTGTAGGGTGCCAGGAGGGAGGTAGTTCCCAGGCCCCAGTGCCCCCTCTCATGAGAGAGCTGGCAGGCCTGGGAGGGGTGATGCAGCTGAGGAAATCACTGTGGATCCCATGTGTGGGGACCTTCTGGGGACGCAATTAATGCCTCAGAGAATGCTAGCATGGAGGCATATTAATTATTGGGGGACAAGATAAGAATGTTCTCAGAGATGTCAACAGTAGCTGCCCATATATGAGGAACCCTGCCCCTTTTACACTACAAAAAACCTTCCTGAGAGGGGAAAGGAATGAACCTCTGAAGTCAGACCGCCAGAAATTTAAATTGATTCAGAAAACTGTGCACTCCCCTTCAGTGCTCACAGCCCATGGGTAAGGAGGTGGGGCAATGATTCGGGGCTGCAGTTTATTCTGGCATGGGTACACTATGAGAGGCCTAGAGAGCAGGGCCCACCGTAAATCCATTGCCATGCTCTGATTCAGAAACCTTTGAAGTTACTGGGAAAAATCCCAAGTTGACTAAGATGAAGTTTCTGTCACAAGGCTGAATGGGAATTTGAGATAGAAACTAGTTTATCACAGAAAAGTAATGCGAGTTCATATTTCATACCTTTGATTTTGTGCTGAGAGCTATCCCAGCTACATGTAAATGAGGACAATGATGCTGAGTCTCCCTTTCTGACAAGAATAATGGGAGAGAATGCTTTATTTGCAAGCACTTGGTGAAATGAAGCTCAGTGTAACCGGTGTGTGTTGTCTGTGATGGGCCCCCTTGCTCCCTTCCAGATCACTACATGATGGGTGAGCTGCACAGTGAAATCAATGCTGGGAACGATAAGTATGTGACATTTTGCATCGCTAATAGCTATTTCCACATAACTATGCTGACACATAAAAACCAAGCCATCAATCTTTCAGCTTTAAAAAAAACAGGCCGAGTAAAATGTTACATATGAACCTTCACTCAGCTCTGTGCCTTGCTCATAGGTGTGACCAGGGTGGGAACAGCAGGCTGGCCTGGCTAGGGGAGCAGATGCCTCACCGGGGCTTTCCTGTGTGAAACCTTCTCTTCATCTGAGTCATGCTTCCATGTGGCGCCCTCTATTGTCTTTTCATCCAAATGAACAACTGTCATATCAATTGATAGGTTACTTTAAAAATCATGGAAAGGCAGCCCTTTGGAGGAAGGCGGTCAGAGGAAGAAGTTATCGGCAGCTATAAAGTTTGAGGCCTCACCCAGACACAATTGCTATGTTTGACCTTGGCTTAAGAGCAGCAACTGAGAAGAGAACAAAAGAAGAGACATGAACAGCAAACCTGACCGTGGTGATCCTAGTGCTCTGACGAATCCAACCACAGAAGCACACGGCTCTTCTTTTAATGAAAGGGAACACATTAGTCAATTCACTGTCATCTAAACTACCTGAGAAACTACGGCCAGACTGGGACAGGCTTCCGCTGGTCCTGGAGATCTGGGTGCTGACACCACAGAGGCAGAGTGTGGAGCCGCTGGGCAAGTGCCTGATCTCTCTTCTTCAGCAAAGCTATATCACCAGGGCTCACACCGTGACCTGGGCCCTGAGTTCTTGGGTTTATTATGGAGAACGTTATTGTCATCAGTGGGCTTGTCATTAAAATCAGAATGATAAATAAACAAGTTTGACAAGTGAAAAAATAATTACAATATCAGTAATAATATTAACTAATATTTATTGTGTGCTTACTATGTGCTAGGCACCACGCTAAAGTACTTTACATACATTATCTCATTTTTTTTAATAAGAGAAAGTTTATTTAGAAAGTCACAGAGGTAGAAGAAGTGAGCCCAGAAGAAATGGGCTCAGGAAACAACTGACAGAGGCAAAAGAAGGGCCCCTGGAGCTTAGGAGAAAGAGAGGCAAGGAAAACACGCCTGGGGAAGAGGGTAGGGAAAGGCATGGGTGTGCTAGACAGAGAGGGAGAGGGAGAGGGAGAGGGAGAAGGAGAGGGAGAGGGAGAGGGAAAGAGAGAGAGAGAGACCCATACATTATCTTATTTAATCCACATAAGAGCTCTGAGGGAAAAGAATGATTATTATCCCCATTTTGGAGACAAAGAAGCTGGGGCTTAGCAAGGCCAGCGTTCCTGGTCTATAGTCACCCAACTTATAAGTGACCAACCCAGGGCTTGAACCTAGGTTTCTCTGGTTAGAGCCTGACATCTCAGCTGTATGCCATTCAACCCCTTTAACTTCCCATGGGCAGGCTTCCACTGCTGGAGGGAACGTGGTATGGCATTTGGGGGGTGGAGGGCCAGGCTAATGCCTTGTGAGAGCTCTCTTGAAACCACACTGTCTCACCCCAGCAACTGGTAGGGGACCAATGACTGAGAGCTTATTCTCCACAGGCACAAGGATAAATCTGGCTTCAGGAAGCCTTTGGGGCAAGGACGGGTGCAGATTCTGGACTCCTGGGGCCCTGAAAGGGCTCACATAGGGCTTAGCTTATGGGGTGGGGGTGGTGGGTGGGAAAGGAATACGGAGCTCAGTAATACTGCCTTATATAAGCCAAACTGTGACTTTTTTCAGTTTATATTGTCCATGGACTGTGACAACAGAAGCATTTTCTCAAGGAGAAAGGTACCTAGAGCAATATTAATTTCAGATACAGCTCAGTGGAGTTATGCAGTCCCCTCCCAACAATTTGAGGTGGTTCTTTATCCTCCGGGAATCTAAGTGTGGCATCACGGTCACATGCTGCATGAAAACAGGTGCACTGGTGCAGGAGGAGGGCTAACCTTCTAGGCGCCACATGACAGCAGCAGTAAAAGTAGAAGACCACACACCTTATGGCTTCCATAAATAGGAGGGGACACATTCACCTACGGTTTTGAACGTGTAAAGTTCTTCCCCTGTCAAGGTGTTGGGCAACACTGGTGACATCCTGCCTTTGAGACTCTTCACTCTAGTGGTGGCCAAGATGATGTCCTGACACTCTGCACACTGTCCCTGGGCCAGGCTGTCCGCAATGCTCAGGGCGGCCATGTCAGTAGGAAAGAAAAGAAAAAAAGAAAAAAGAAAAAAAAAGAGAGGGGGGTGGGTGGAGGGTAAGTGATTGGTTTAAAGCCTGGTTCCGTCTCTGGGCTGCTGGGTCAGATAGAACAGAAGAAGAGAACAAAAGAAGAGACATGAACAGCAAATCTGACCATGGCGACCCCAGCTTCAGAAACCTTTGAAGTTACTGGGAAAAATCCCAAGTTGACTAAGATGAAGTTTCTGTCACAAGGCTGAATGGGAATTTGAGATAGAAACTAGTTTATCACAGAAAAGTAATGCGAGTTCATATTTCATACCTTTGATTTTGTGCTGAGAGCTATCCCAGCTACATGTAAATGAGGACAATGATGCTGAGTCTCCCTTTCTGACAAGAATAATGGGAGAGAATGCTTTATTTGCAAGCACTTGGTGAAATGAAGCTCAGTGTAACCGGTGTGTGTTGTCTGTGATGGGCCCCCTTGCTCCCTTCCAGATCACTACATGATGGGTGAGCTGCACAGTGAAATCAATGCTGGGAACGATAAGTATGTGACATTTTGCATCGCTAATAGCTATTTCCACATAACTATGCTGACACATAAAAACCAAGCCATCAATCTTTCAGCTTTAAAAAAAACAGGCCGAGTAAAATGTTACATATGAACCTTCACTCAGCTCTGTGCCTTGCTCATAGGTGTGACCAGGGTGGGAACAGCAGGCTGGCCTGGCTAGGGGAGCAGATGCCTCACCGGGGCTTTCCTGTGTGAAACCTTCTCTTCATCTGAGTCATGCTTCCATGTGGCGCCCTCTATTGTCTTTTCATCCAAATGAACAACTGTCATATCAATTGATAGGTTACTTTAAAAATCATGGAAAGGCAGCCCTTTGGAGGAAGGCGGTCAGAGGAAGAAGTTATCGGCAGCTATAAAGTTTGAGGCCTCACCCAGACACAATTGCTATGTTTGACCTTGGCTTAAGAGCAGCAACTGAGAAGAGAACAAAAGAAGAGACATGAACAGCAAACCTGACCGTGGTGATCCTAGTGCTCTGACGAATCCAACCACAGAAGCACACGGCTCTTCTTTTAATGTTAAAGGGAACATTAGTCAATTCACTGTCATCTAAACTACCTGAGAAACTACGGCCAGACTGGGACAGGCTTCCGCTGGTCCTGGAGATCTGGGTGCTGACACCACAGAGGCAGAGTGTGGAGCCGCTGGGCAAGTGCCTGATCTCTCTTCTTCAGCAAAGCTATATCACCAGGGCTCACACCGTGACCTGGGCCCTGAGTTCTTGGGTTTATTATGGAGAACGTTATTGTCATCAGTGGGCTTGTCATTAAAATCAGAATGATAAATAAACAAGTTTGACAAGTGAAAAAATAATTACAATATCAGTAATAATATTAACTAATATTTATTGTGTGCTTACTATGTGCTAGGCACCACGCTAAAGTACTTTACATACATTATCTCATTTTTTTTAATAAGAGAAAGTTTATTTAGAAAGTCACAGAGGTAGAAGAAGTGAGCCCAGAAGAAATGGGCTCAGGAAACAACTGACAGAGGCAAAAGAAGGGCCCCTGGAGCTTAGGAGAAAGAGAGGCAAGGAAAACACGCCTGGGGAAGAGGGTAGGGAAAGGCATGGGTGTGCTAGACAGAGAGGGAGAGGGAGAGGGAGAGGGAGAGGGAGAAGGAGAGGGAGAGGGAGAGGGAAAGAGAGAGAGAGAGACCCATACATTATCTTATTTAATCCACATAAGAGCTCTGAGGGAAAAGAATGATTATTATCCCCATTTTGGAGACAAAGAAGCTGGGGCTTAGCAAGGCCAGCGTTCCTGGTCTATAGTCACCCAACTTATAAGTGACCAACCCAGGGCTTGAACCTAGGTTTCTCTGGTTAGAGCCTGACATCTCAGCTGTATGCCATTCAACCCCTTTAACTTCCCATGGGCAGGCTTCCACTGCTGGAGGGAACGTGGTATGGCATTTGGGGGGTGGAGGGCCAGGCTAATGCCTTGTGAGAGCTCTCTTGAAACCACACTGTCTCACCCCAGCAACTGGTAGGGGACCAATGACTGAGAGCTTATTCTCCACAGGCACAAGGATAAATCTGGCTTCAGGAAGCCTTTGGGGCAAGGACGGGTGCAGATTCTGGACTCCTGGGGCCCTGAAAGGGCTCACATAGGGCTTAGCTTATGGGGTGGGGGTGGTGGGTGGGAAAGGAATACGGAGCTCAGTAATACTGCCTTATATAAGCCAAACTGTGACTTTTTTCAGTTTATATTGTCCATGGACTGTGACAACAGAAGCATTTTCTCAAGGAGAAAGGTACCTAGAGCAATATTAATTTCAGATACAGCTCAGTGGAGTTATGCAGTCCCCTCCCAACAATTTGAGGTGGTTCTTTATCCTCCGGGAATCTAAGTGTGGCATCACGGTCACATGCTGCATGAAAACAGGTGCACTGGTGCAGGAGGAGGGCTAACCTTCTAGGCGCCACATGACAGCAGCAGTAAAAGTAGAAGACCACACACCTTATGGCTTCCATAAATAGGAGGGGACACATTCACCTACGGTTTTGAACGTGTAAAGTTCTTCCCCTGTCAAGGTGTTGGGCAACACTGGTGACATCCTGCCTTTGAGACTCTTCACTCTAGTGGTGGCCAAGATGATGTCCTGACACTCTGCACACTGTCCCTGGGCCAGGCTGTCCGCAATGCTCAGGGCGGCCATGTCAGTAGGAAAGAAAAGAAAAAAAGAAAAAAGAAAAAAAAAGAGAGGGGGGTGGGTGGAGGGTAAGTGATTGGTTTAAAGCCTGGTTCCGTCTCTGGGCTGCTGGGTCAGATAGAACAGAAGAAGAGAACAAAAGAAGAGACATGAACAGCAAATCTGACCATGGCGACCCCAGCGCTCTGACGAATCCAACCACAGAAGCACACGGCTCTTCTTTTTTTACTTTTAAAGGGAACATTAGTCAACGCACTGCCATATAAAACAGTGCAGCTAAGTTCCAGGCGTCTGGCATGTCTATTATTCCTCCTTCCTCAGAGGCAAGGAGTTGGGAGCAGTCCCTCATCCCTGTGGGAGAATGTGGATCCCAGGAGCTCTCTGGATCCTCCCTGGACGGGCCTTCTCCTTCCATTTCAGGAGTGCAGTATGTTCTCTGTGACAGTGCTGCCTCCGCCGCTGATGACGAAGCTCCGGGAGTTGGACACGACCAGAGCTGGGGACATCTCTTCAGGGTCCTCTGCCTCTGGCTGGCGGTCTCCACCCACAGGCCCTTGCAGGCCTGTCTCCTGGGCGGTCAGTTCTGAGTCCGGCTCCCCGCACTGCAGCGGGAGTAACGCCTGGTGCCTGGTCAGCGTGTCGTTGCTTTTCTGGGACTCCAGGGAGTTCTGGTGCGAGGAATTCCTGTGAGCCGCGGCACTCTTCTGAGGCTCGTCAAAGCTCAGCGAGAAGGTGACGGTGCCGCTGCCGAAGATGACCTGCTTGCATCTGGGCTGCTGCTGCGGCTGCAGGGCCGAG